GTTTATATATATATATATATATGAAATAATTTTGTAAAAATTGTAAAAGTGAGTTTTTTTTTATATTAAATATAAAATAGAGAGGAGGTCAAAGATACTAGTTTAATTTTTTAGGCACAATGAATGGAAAGAATTTTATATTGTCAACTAATAAAAATATATTTTAAGTATAGTTTTAAAGTGATTATTCTAAAAATTAATAATTTTATATTATCCTATTGATGGATGATAGTATAATTTTTTCTACACCATCAATATATTTTAATATTAAATATTAAATTAATTTTTCTACTGAAAAATCCAACACGTAGGGAAGGTTTGGGCCGTGGTTTATATTTGTGGCCCGTAAAGACCCAAAAGGAGTGTTGGTTAAGCGTTGACGAGCCATTCGTTCCAAGTTTGAATTCAAAAAAGATGTTTCACTGTTTCTGATTCTTCGTCTTCGTTTAGTAGAAGCCACTCCATCAAGTGTTCGTGAAAATGCCAGATAGAAACTCCTTCGTCCACACCCCACGAAGGTCGCCGAGATTCTTCCCCGAACAACACCACAACACTCCCAACCCCAAATCCGCAAAACGCACCGTTTCCGCCCAAAACTGCGCTGTTGCGTCGAGAAGATCGCCGAGGCTGAACAATGGGATCGATCTCAGACGATCTTCCAGGTTGAACAAAGAGACAAGCGATGAAAAATTGAGAGCCGCCAGAGTGAAGGCTGGTGATGCTGAAACGCAGGAAAACCGTGTCGTTTCGGAGGAGGGGTTTGGTGGAGGAGCGAAGAAGCGGGGAAATGGGAAGAGACTTGATGGTAAAACGCGGGAAAATCGTGTCGTTTCGGATGAGGGTTTTGGTGGAGGAGCAAAGAAGGGGGGAAATGGGGAGAGGGTTGAAGTCAAAATGGAAGATAATCGTGTCGTTTCGGATGAGGGGTTTGGTGAAGGGAGAAAGAAGGAGAGAAAGAGGAAGCGGGTTGAAGTTAAAACGGAAGAAAATCGTGTCGTTTTGGATGAGGGGTTTGGTGGAGGAAGAAAGGAGAGGGGAAAGGGGAAGAAGAGAAAGCGCAATGGTGAAGAAATTGGGAAAGGGTGGACGGAGGAACAAGAGTTGGCTCTTGAAAGAGCGTATTTGGCTGCAAAGCCTAGTCCACATTTCTGGAAGAACGTTTCCAAACTGGTATGCTTCGTTCTCTCCGTCTCTGAGTGAAAATGTTCATTTTTTGTTTGGTTTTAACTGGGAATTGAGTTTGAGAATAATCAAGTAGTAATTTATCTGAAATTTGCATGATTGGGATTGGCTTGTGCAAATTTTGAAAGCTGCCTGTTAAATGGTTTACATGTTAAAGAGTTTGATGTGAATAGGATCAATGAAATTTAATATGCTTGTCTTCTTTCTGCCTTGGTTCTCAAATGTTTTAAAACACATATGATGATGATTCTTCAAGAGCCTGCTTGGTATTTGACAGCTAACGATTGTGGTGGATAAGTGATTATGTAAGCATTAACCTTTCAAGCCAAAAAGTATAACTCTGAAATGTCAATAGCTGTGTGTTTGAATGAAGTGATGTACTATGGAATGGTATGTTTGTTTGAATGAATTGATGTAGTATGGAATGATATGTGTGAGTTTGAATGAAGTGATGTAGTACGGATTGATACTAAGTTACTCTTTTTTTGTTTTTGTATCCAATCAACTCGGATGGAATGGAGTATAACCTTTTCCGTCCCCTTAAAAATCAGGGTATGAGGTAGTTTCCGTTTAGTCGTAAAAATATACAAAACAATGGCATGGTAGCTTTATTGCATTTTACTCATATATCCAAACATGAAGGAATTGCTATAAAAAATTGTTGGTATGTTCATAGTTTTAAAAATCGGACCGCTCATCGAACCGGTTAAGGTACTGGGTCAGTGGGTCAAAGGTTGGATTGGTGGGTCACTAGTTGAACCGCATGACTCGATTTTTATTTATTTTTATTAAAAAAATATTCATATTAAATGTATTTTATACTTATAAATTTTAATAAATTCATATCTTATTTTAAATTTCAATTTTTCTATCTTATTTTAAAATTTTATTTTTATTTTGTAAGAAAATATATAAAAAATTACATGTTAAACTGTATATTAATACAAATTAAAAATATAAATAATATGTACACATATAATATGCTTGCAATTGATATCACAAAATAATTTATGTAATATTTACATAGATATTATATTATTAAATATATAATTTAAAATTAATAATATACTATAAAA